AGTATGCCTCTGTATCTTTCCTACTGTTCTCTTTATTAAGGAACTTACCTATACTCTGATCAAGGATCTATCAGTCATGACAGACCCTACCCTAAGTCTCCCTCTTAGCTAAACTCTTCATTTCTTCAGTTCTAGCCCCTCAGTCAACATTTTAATGTCTGTGACCTGACACTGGAGGTATGTCAATCATCCCAGACCTAAGCCCTCCAAACAGCAAATGTAATGTCCAATAACCCCTCCATTCAGTTAATGTTTCCAATGCCCTAATTTGATTAATGATGCAATTCACCCAGTCTATGTGGGACAAAAACATATTTCCACTGAATATTCCAAGTCTGTTCCCATAACCGGTTAACATCATCCTGTAGTCCACTAATTAACCTATAACATCACCCTTTCCAACCAAAAGACGTTTTAGCATTCTCTACGCAATTAAATGCCCCTTGTCAATGCCATGTGAATACAGACCCCTTCGTTAACTCCCATTGCTGTGTTTTTCTATATATTCTTATGACACATAATTCAGATAGTATGGCTGAGTGGGATATCAAAGAACGGCAAGCAGCTTCAATTTATTTGACTTGTGTAACAATGTAATATAAATTATTTTAAAAAAATTCTGTATTTTGAATTACATTTAATTAAAATATATAGAGGTATCAAAATAATTTCACCTACGTGCTGTGACACACAAATGAGAGATTGCATGACGCAAGTTCTGTCGATCCAGTTCAATATTATGTAAATTAGGAAGGTTCTGTGGATCCTGTTCAATATTATGTAAATTGGGCAGGTTCTGTCGATCCTGTTCAAGATTATGTAAATTTCTTTTTGACGTTTGATTAAAGAAATGCTCCTCGGTGCAGTCATGATGGCTCTTCCAGCCTGATAGCAAAGAATAGACAAGTCTAAAGCAAACAATATTTGAAATAGTATATTGCAACTTCTCTTTTAGCATAATCTGAATTGCTCTACATTTGCATTACTCATTAGCATCCACAGACCCAACTTAGCGTTTTAACTCTCCTTCGTGCCTAATCACTAGACTTGAGCCCAGTGAAAAAAACATTTGTTCAGGCAAATTGATTCAGCCAAGAAAAAAGAATTGTGTTGGCCAAATCGGATTCATCCATGGAGAGTCTTAGTTTGAAAAAAAAATCATCCATGCAATTATTTCATGTAAAACAATTCGGATGAACCAAAAGGTCGAGTGTACTGCAAGATGCACATGATATAGTATAGGTTACTTTTTGAACCATTCGGTTCACACATTAAATAAAAAGAAGTAACCAATAAAGGGTAAAAAAGGAGGAGAAATAAAAAAAATCTTTATATATTATATTTTTATTAAAGGAACATCTGAAGCACCTCCACCCTATTGAAGCAGTTTTGGAGTATACATCATGCCCCTGTAGTTTCACTGCTCAATTCTCTGCCATTTAGGAGTTAAATCACTTTTGTTTTGTGTCACTGCAGCCCTAGCCAAACCTCCCCTGGCTGTGACTCACTCAGCTCTCATGAAAAAAAAGGTATTATTTTTAATAAGATGTTAACTTACTTTAGAAGTCTTTATCTCATGCTCTGTAAATTGAACTTTAATCACACACAGGAGGCTCCTGCAAAATCTAGCAGGCTATTAACAGTGCAAGAGATAGGACATTCTAAATTAAACAGACAATAAAAGAAGTATAAACATCCAATCTTACTTTACATGTAGGATTTATGAGGTGTGGCTAGGGCTGCATAAACAAAAGTGATGTAAATCATAAATGGCAGATAATTGAGCAGTGAGACTGCAGAGGCATGATCTATACACCAAAACTGCTTCATTAAGCTAAAGTTGTTTTGGAGACTATAATGTCCCTTTAAATCTAATATAAATATATAGATTTTTTTTTTTTTACTGCACCTTATTTTTTCCCTTTATTGACACTTCTCACTTTATCTTGAATAAAAGAAACATTTTGAGGTTGCATCCAACCATATTTTTCCCACCAATCATACCTTGGTCCATTATCATAATTAGCAAAGTTGTGCGCTTGGTTCCAAAGAAATTGCAATTTTATAAAATTTTGCTTCCATAAAGTTAAAATTCCATATGGACATATCCTAAAACAAATGACACAGACAGAGATCTGCTGATTTCTATAATTTAAACAGGAGAACACGATATATTTATGTCTGCGACAACCAAGAAAAAAACTCAATTTCATTCCTGTTAAAGATGGAAATAAGGTAGACAAGAGGTATGAATTTTTACAAATGCGCCATCCTCTATCTAACAAAGTTTTGAAAATAGCCAAGCTCTTGTGTTTTTTTTTTTTTTAATCTTTAGGGAGTGGGCTATCTTAAAGGTTCTATGCCTTGAAGCTAAGTGCATGGTGTGAAAGAACAATTATATGTGCAATACAAATTTCATCAAATTAGACACTTGTATTGTTCCGGTGTTTAAGGGTTATTTGCATTCACTTGCAGCGGAGATAACTGGTTGGATTCATTACAGATTGTGGGTTTTTCTTTTTCCTCAGAGGATAATTAACCAGGTAGTAGCAAATGAGGAGCTTGATATGCTGTTTTTTGAAATTAAATCCACAAGCCTTTGATTTTGTGTCATAAGATCTATGTATTAGCCCATTTATGTTATGTTATCATGTCTCTACTGGTACTACACCTGTTAAATTCATACATTTGAAAACCTAAACTTATGACCAAGTAGTACTGAAGGCTTGGAAAGGTAATGGCTACTTTAATGCATCGTGGGCCCTCTTACAAGGAATCCACTTGCCAAGGCTAAATTGTTCAGGAGCTAAACCCACCATGGTGTCCAGTTGGAGGCTCAAGAGGACATCTAAGCCTTGGTCCTTCACATATAACAAGACTCCTAAAATTGGTTTGTCCCAAAATTGAAAGATGTCACCAGTAGCATATCAGCATTATATGCAACAGGGTCTAATGGTTGTAGTTCTTAGCATGCCCTTTTAATTCCTTTAACACCATAATAGAAATTCCTACTTGAATATGGTTAATGTAACTGAAAAAACATTGTCAATTTAAAGTGGTGGGAAGTATGTAATAGAAGGTTAATATAAAGTGTATTCAAAAATATATTTATGGAATTTCAAATCTTAGTAATTAATACTAAACAATGAGTTGCAATGAGCCAAACATGAAGTTGGACAGCTTTGACCATATTTTACTACTTCTGCTATATCCAGCCACAGCTAGCTAAATCCCCTAACTAAAATGGCACGATTCGGTTTATTCTCAGTCTGATGCAGTACATCACAGTGCCACTACCTGTCTGTTGTGCTATTGCAGGCTGCTGAACTCAGACTGAGATCTCTCTCTGTTCCCAGCTGGCCTTACTTTGCCATGATCTCACAACATTAAATTGAACCTCACCCTTCTTGTTTGCCATTTCATTAATGTTAATGTTAATGTTGGTCTGGTCCTTATGTCCTTAATTTCTGTGCTAACTGGCTGCCTATCTTGTGTTCCTGAGCTGGCTTTCTCCCTGTATCCAGAAGTCTCTCCTGCGTTCCATGTATCCAGAGGTCTCTCCTGTGTTCCCTGTATCCAGAGGTCTCTCCTGCGTTCCCTGTACCCAGAGGTCTCTCCTGCGTTCCCTGTACCCAGAGGTCTCTCTTGTGTTCCCTGTATCCAGAGGTCTCTCCTGCGTTCCCTGTATCCAGAGGTCTCTCCTGCGTTCCCTGTATCCAGAGGTCTCTCCTGCGTTCCCTGTATCCAGAGGTCTCTCCTGCGTTCCCTGTATCCAGAGGTCTCTCCTGCGTTCCCTGTACCTAGAGGTCTCTCCTGCGTTCCCTGTATCCAGAGGTCTCTCCTGCGTTCCCTGTATCCAGAGGTCTCTCCTGCGTTCCCTGTATCCAGAGGTCTCTCCTGCGTTCTCTGTATCCAGAGGTCTCTCCTGCATTCTCTGTATGCAGAGGCCTTTCCTTTGTTCCCTGCATCCAGAGGTCTCTCCTGCGTTCTCTGTATCCAGAGGTCTCTCCTGCATTCTCTGTATGCAGAGGCCTTTCCTTTGTTCCCTGCATCCAGAGGTCTCTCCTGCGTTCTCTGTATCCAGAGGTCTCTCCTGCATTCTCTGTATGCAGAGGCCTTTCCTTTGTTCCCTGCATCCAGAGGTCTCTCCTGCGTTCTCTGTATCCAGAGGTCTCTCCTGCGTTCCCTGTATCCAGAGGCCCTTCTCAACATCCAGTTATCTGTGTTTCTATTTTATTTAACTGTCTTTCTAGTAAATATCAATATATATTTTTGCCTTGTTTTGTGTGTATATTGGTTTCTTTGCATTCTGGTTTCCACCCTATAGAAGTTGCTGCACTGGTCAGCACTCCTTCCCGACCAGACCCCTGACATACATATTCATAATAATGGGTAATTTAAAATGATCTCTGCCCCTACCGATTATACCGATCACAACACCTTCCATTAATTTCAGCAGAACTGTCACCGCCACCAAGGCCAACTGCCAGCAGGACTCACACCGATGAACTGAGAGAAGAGCACAGAATATATTGTCAAACATTAATGTAATCTAGAGCAACATATAATATTATACATGTGTATTAAAAGGACAAAATCATATCAAAATATACTCTTTTTAAATTTATTTAATGCCATGACTTCTACATATACACACATATGTAGGGCCCTATTGAACCTTGCACAGTGTGAGCTTTGAACTTGCTGTTTAGTCAGTGAGTGCGCTGGTCTTTTTATGCTGTGTTGGTTGGCCCCAGCAACACCGTTATAATGTTTGTGTTCTCAGGTTATTGTATCCTTCTTGTGTGTGTGTGTGTATGTATATATATATATATATATAGTTACCATATTCACCATGTTTTCAGGCACACATATAATTTTGTCATAGTTCTGAAAACGCATTCCGCAGTACATGGGTATAATTGGTAAAACACAAAGCATATTATATGGCCTTAAAATTTGTAGTCCGATGCTACTGGCTAGGCCTTAAAAGTTACTCGCTACTGCAAACCATAGTATACTAACAAGGTATGAAGCCCTACTTGCCAAGCCTAATGTTTCACATGCCAACCTACGGTTAATGGTGAGTGAAAAATATGTGTGTGTGTATATTTATACACACACACACAGACATAGACATATACAGACATACACATATACAAGTGTAAACACTTGCATAGACATCCAAAAATACACTCATACACCCACATGAATTTACTTGTTACTTGTTTTTTTTCAAGATGGTCCACTGATTAGAAAGCCTTTTTTTGTTACCTTGGCCAGTGCGGGGCTAGAGTGGAGCCTCATTCCTGGGTCCATTGGGGGCTGGAATCACTCTGTGATCTCATTGCGCAGTAATTCAGAACAGTTAGCTTGTTTAAACGCTCTCTACTGACGACGCATTGACATCACATCCTGTTGGCATGTTTAAGACGCGACAGGGCGTGGATCTCTCACGCTGCCGAAAGCCCACACTATGAATATGTTAATTCAGGGCCAGTCAAGGGTTATCTCTTATCTTCCTTACTAACCCATATCTGCACTGACCTGGTCTTCTGATCAGCCTGAGCTGAGGGGGCCCATTGAGGAAAACTCCCGGTATGGTACTGGCCATGAATATTCTTAGCATTCTTTCTTCACCTTACATTATTTCTTTATCCCTTTCTTTCTTTCATTTAATTCCTCTAGCCTTTTTCTTTTTAATTCCGCTGAAAAGAGAATCTGAACTAACCATAAACCAACTTCCTGCACAAAACTTTTGCACATGTAAATGTTTCCACTGCCGAGCGTGACGAATACTGATATAAATGAAACCTAGTATTCTTACACGGGCTTTGCTCAAATGTAATTTTACTCTTTCAACCACGCATAACATATAGATTTATTTATGTATTTTTCAATTTGTTCTGCGTGATAATTATCCGAAAACATTTAAACTCACAGATAATCATCTTCATGTGATGTTGTTTTTAAGAAACAATCAGCAAGGCTGGGAAACTTGTAAGAATTAATGGAAGAATGTACAGAGCAAAATACAGGGCAATAAAGTAAGAGAACCTTTCAGGCTGCAAAAAAGTACTGACGTTTGAGGGAAAGGGACACAGACAGACAGACAGACAGACAGACAGACAGACAGACAGATAGATAGATAGAGTGCAGAGAGAAGTGGTTAGTACCTCAGGAATCTGCATTGGGTATGCTAATCTTTTAATTATGTTTAAATTGGTATTGAAACTCGTGTCAATATTTACAGATGATACAAAACTAGGTAAAGTATTACAGTATGACCTGGATATCACTTTTCTGCAGAGAGAATTGGCTAAATTAAGGGGCCTCACTATGTGGCAGAACAGATTTAATGTAGAAAAGCTATGTTTTTGTGGGATAAGGAACCTACAATCAACTTACACTTTAAGCAGGACTCAACATTTCTACTCGCCATTAGCAAGAAAATATGTAATCCTGGCTAATACAAATTCCCCATTACTGGATGTCTATGCACCCTCCACGTTTGCAGTGGCAAGTAACTGGTAAGGCCTGGCTAGTAGCATAGTTGATTTTGGGATAAAAAATAAAGGAGGAGTTAAGAACAACAGACAATAGTGGACAATATCAGTTCACCAAAACATAGACCAGTAAGGTTTTGTTAGATGTGAAAGTTTCAACTAGATGGGCTTGGTTATTTTTCCATTGGGTATTAAACTAAAAAAATTGCTCTATTTCCATGAGAATTGACAAATTATCTTAAAGGATAATTAAAGACACCCAGACCACCTTATCTTCACAGTTTTAAGCCTGCAATGTAAAACATTTCTGTTTTATAGTTAAAGCAACATGCTTCAATTGCAGTGTTGAACACACCTTTATTGGCTATCTTCCTAATAGCCACTAGGGGTGTTTCTCTGTGAGAACTGAGTCAGATTCGGTTCTCAATGCTTCTCCTAGAGCAGCAGTTGATTGGCTCAGCGTGGCGATTTGCTGTACATGTGCACTAGCCTTCCAATGCGTCAGTATTGGAAAGCACTGGATTGGCTGAGATCATCAATCTGGAGGATCTCAACTAGGGAGGGGCAGCAGGTAAGGAAGAAAGATAAGTGAAACTCACCTTGTAACCCCTCAGGTGTGGGATTCTTAGGTCCTAAATAGGTAGGGGAACACAATGGGTTTAGGAGTACACAGTCTATTAATAGTGTTTCTTTAATAGATCATGGAGGACTTGAGACTAGAATACCTGTTGTTTAAAAAAATATATATTTTCAATACACAAAGGAAGTGAGTCAGTCTAGTCAAAGCTTTACTCTATCTGTTCAAAACTAAAACTGACATCACAATAAAAACATGAACAGGTATCAAGTGTAACCCTTCATGTAGCAACGTGAGGAGAATGTAACACCGTACCAGACTCAAATACAACTGACATATAGTTTCCAGGGAGAAAGGAAAACCTGAATTTATTAACCAAAAATGAAGTAAACAGTCAAATTCATGTTTAACTGCTAAACACCGTTAGGGTGTACTATGCCGCCCTACAAAAGGAGGGCTTTAACACCGTAATGGCGGCATAGTACACGTTAATGATCGTGCCCTACAGGAGCCCAGATACTTACCTTACTGACGACACATGCAGTCCCCCCAGTCAATCCGGTTCATCCTGGCCATGTAATCACAATATCACTGCCATTCGGGAACGGTTCGCCACGAACGGTTCGCCGTGGACTCATCATTGAGTAAACTTTGACCCTGTACCTCACAGTCAGCAGACACATTTCAGTCAATCAGCAGCAGACCCTCCCTCCCAGACCCTCCCAGGAGGTGGGAGGGTATCAATATAATTGCTATAGAAGCACTATGTGCAATGCTACCCAATTAAAGAGCTGCCCAGATAGACAAATAAACCAGTCTTACCTTGAAAGATAACATTGAAAAAAGAGGTTTGCAGTAGAACAAAAAAAGGGGGCAGATTGTCTAACCTGTCACAATTTGAAACGGACAAAAAAGAGAATCTAAGCAGAAATTGATTGAGATGAGGCAGACTCAGTGGCGTAGCTAAAGGGGGGGCCAGAGGGGGACATAGCCCCTACATCATGCCGTGTCCCCCTTTGTGCCCCTCCAAACGCAGACACTGTATCAAGGGCAATGTGTTTGTTTTTTAATAATACTTGGTGGAAAATAATGATTCCTCCACCCGGGATTATTTTTTTACAAAAAACACACTGTGGCAGGGACGGGAGTTACCCTGGGGCGGGACCAAATTACAGCAGGGGCGGGGCTAAAGGTGCCCAGAAGACATCAGTCAGGGTAACTGCATCACAGAAGAACAGCCACTCTGCGGACCCCTGCAACCTGGTGCCCACCGCCATGTGCTGCGGCCCCAGGCCAAGCGGTATAACTGCCGGGGTCTTATTTTAAGGGGTCCATCGGGTGGCCCATGCTGTTAGGGTCACCCAATGACTATGGTCAGTGGCAGATCTGGAAGGGGTCAGTGGGGCAATTGCTTCCCCAAGATAACAAGGCAGGCCGATGGTAGTTTTTCTCCTTTTAAATATAGTCTCCTCTTTTACTGTGTTGATTGCCTTTATGTATTTAAATGTTTCTATCATATCCCCCCTGTCTCGTCTTTCCTCCAAGCTATACATGTTAAGATCCTTTAACCTTTCCTGGTAAGTTTTATCCTGCAATCCATGAACCAGTTTAGTAGCCCTTCTCTGAACCCTCTCTAAAGTATCAATATCCTTCTGAAGATACGGTCTCCAGTACTGTGTACAATACTCCAAGTGAGGTCTCACCAGTGTTCTGTACAATGGCATGAGCACTTCCCTCTTTCTACTGCTGATACCTCTCCCTATACAACCAAGCATTCTGCTAGCATTTCCTGCTGCTCTATTACATTGTCTGTCTACCTTTAAGTTATCTGAAAAAATTACTCCTAAATCCCTTTCCTCAGATGTTGAGGTTATGACTTTTATTTTGAACTTTTCCACATTAAATGTCAGTTGCCACAACTCTGACCATTTTTCTAGTTTACCTAAATCATTTGCCATTTGGCTTATCCCTCCTGGAACATCAACCCTGTTACATATCTTAGTATCATCAGCAAAAAGACATACCTTACCATCAAGACCTTCTGCAATATCACTAATAAAAATATTAAAGAGAATGGGTCCAAGTACAGATCCCTGAGGTACCCCACTGGTGACAAGTCCAAGCTTCGAATATATTCCATTGACTACAACCCTCTGTTAACTGTCACTCAGCCACTGCCTTACCCATTCAACAATATTGGAATCCAAACTTTATCTGAATCCAAACTTTATCTGAATCCAAACAATTTGACTGTATCTTTACTGATAAGCAAATATAATGCATGTGCTTAATATAAACTAGTTATTTTAAACTCACCATTCTTCTTCTTGAGCTTTCTCATTTCTTTACAGATGATTTTCTAATAACTGTATTCTTAACTGTATAACGTGTGTAAAGGCTGCCTGAAGGATGTAGTATGTGTCAGTGCCTATTCTATGAAATATATAAACCACCAAGTCACATCCTGTCTAACAAAAAATATAGAAGATAAGATCTATGATTAGATAGGTAGATAGGTGGATGGATGGATGGATGGATGGATGCAGATAGAGAGACAGACAGACAGACAGACAGATCTATGACTTTGAGCACTGCATACAGTTTAAAATGTGCATCTTAAAAGCCTAGCTGACAGAGGGAAACCCCAGGTCTTTATTGCTCAAATTGCATTGCCGTCAATGGGGATTTAAATCCCCATTTAAATAGCTGTATGCTCTGCTCACTTTGAACAATGTATACAGTTCATCTGTCAGTTTGGGGCCACTAAAAATGGATCCATAACTGTGACTCCCTGGTGTGAGCAGGGATTTAATCCTGCCAACAACCAAAACTGCAGAACGTATTAATACGCCCTATCAAGGTTAAAGCCAAGTATTGTTAGTACATACTGACATTTCCTAACGTTATTAAGGGTTAATTCTTCTTGCAGGCAATCAAGTCTCAATTTGTATCGGTGGTTATAGATTCTTCCTGGTAATATGTAGGCCACAGAGACACAGATAAAATATTTTATTTATGTATCTATTTATTTGTTCAGCTATTTGATCCAAATTCAGAGGTAATATGGTGTGCTTAAATTTCACGTAAACTTTAGGAGACTAGTGGTGGTAGATTCTTGAATATAACTAAAAGAAAATAAGTAATTCTGAGAGAAATAAGAATTGCTGCTTATAAATAGTAGCACAATTTTTATCTCGTAATTAAAACTTTCTGAATTGTACTTTTTTCAAGCACTTCGAATTTTAGGTCCATATCCCTCTGTTCCACTTTTCTATCTTAATGTCCTTTGTCACTTTAATTGCCAAGTTGTTGGTCTGTATGAATGACCCCCCCCCCCCTTGAAATTGGCATCCAGTAAAGCCAGACATCAGGGAGGTGGGTAAAAAGTGGAAGACAGTGATGTCATGTGTGATACCCAAAGGAGACAGTCCCACCCAGAAAGAGGGCGAGTACACTCACAAAATAGGCAGGTCAGTATGGCGTGAATGCACATCAGTGAATGCCAATCATTCAGGACAGCCCACTAAGGGTGGACCATGTAGAGCAAGCATGTCAAACATGCGGCACGTGGCCCGCATGCGGCCCACAATTAATATATTTGCAGCCCTCCTGCACTGGAGCCTGTCTGCTTCTTATCTCCCCTCCCACGGCTGGAGGGAGTGGGTCGTGTATTAATTTGAGGAAGCACTGTATTAATATGGGTATCGCTCCCTGAAGAAGTCCCAACGGATGAAACGCGTAGGACTTTTGACAGTTTTATTTCGTTTAAATACTTTTTGTTTTTATTAGTAATCTGCCACCCTGCATGTTTATCTCTGGAGCTTCCTGCTATTCGCTGAAGCCTGCTTACCACGCTGGTTGTGGAGATACGCTTGATTTTATCTGCAATCTTGTAAGTGCAATATTGTGCAATAAATTTGTCATTTTTAATACAATCTGCACTATATTCTTTATTTTTTACTATCCTGAGCCATCCAGAAGATTCATCTTAAGACCATTAATCTTAACCCTATCTGAAAGGGAGACATGCCTGATTATACATCTATCTACCACCCCCGCCCTCATATTTATATTGGACATACTGCACCATATATATTTTTATTTATTTGCAGAAAATCTTGTGATCATTTATCAGGTTGTACATAACCTTTATTATTCACTTTATTTGTTGTTTTTTTTAATTTATGTTTTGGCCCTTTTTTTTCCTTAAAGGATTTATCTGTGTTTTAGAGCATATAGTGAATTTATGTTTGTGTAAAACATATGCAAAAAAAAATTTAATAAATTGAATAAGAAAGTTATCGCCTTGCCTTGTTTTTCAAAGTATGTCTTGTAAACAGTATATTTAATGTTCTTTGCTAAAAACTTTAAAAAAAAAAAACTCCTTATATCAAAGTGCTGTCTGTAAGAAAAAAATGTGTTGTCTTATAGGGAATCACATTTTCATCATGGAAAAAAATAGTTTTTAATTGACACTACTCTGTGCATCACAATTTTAAAATTCAAATCTTTGATTTTTTCACATTAATTTAGGGCTTTTTTTTTTTAGCCATTCTGTGTTCTTTTCATCTTACTGTAAATATGAAGTAAACAAGGTAAGTTGCACTATGGAAAATGTAGTACTTCCTGAAGCTCAATAAAGAGCAGTTATGGTTAGAATGTTCCACAGAGTGTCTGAACTGAAATATGCTCTCCATTCCACTTTAGAAAACTTTTGGTTTGAGTAATATTTCAATTCTATTCCATAAATGTTCTTTAAATTTTAGCACAACTTAATAAAATTACATTTTTAAAAAGCCGATTAGAAGCATCCTTGTTCTGTGACGTTAAAGTGGATTTGTGGGGGACAGGGGCTATGTTGGGACAGGGACA